AAAAAAAAAAAAAGAGAAAGAAAGAAAGGAAGAAGAAGGTGAAGGGGAAGGAAGGAGAAGACAAGGGTGGCGAAGGTGAAGGTGCCGGCAGCCATAGCCGAGGTGAGAGTTGACCGGACGGTTGACTGGGAGTTGACCTGAGGGTTGACCGGGTGTTGACCAGAAGGTTGACCGGGGTGTTGACCGGGGTCATGCTGCGTTGACCAAGCGTTGACCAAGGAGTTGACCGACGCCGTTGACCAAGACTTGGACCAAGTTGGAGTTGGTAATATCTCGCCAAGCCCTTAGCCTACCCCCTTACCCTATGGATGTGCACTCTCCCTACGGTACTTGCTGAGTCTGAGTCTGTTTGTCTCTTCTTTCTGCATCGAGTCTCTTCTGTCCTAGGTGATAGGACTCTGTGCATGAAGGATAGGTCTGGATGACGAAACCTTAGTCCGACCTTGTAGGGCTGAGACTATGGCTGATCCAACTTTCGAGGGGGGGCATAACCCTCCCAAGGACCGGTGCTGACCGGCTGGAAACAGTTGGTAGGACTCAGTGGGCCTGAACGGCAGCTAAGGCTGACACACCAGACAGTCTTTAAGTGTTGAGGGTCTGTTTGAACCACCCCCCTACCGGACCCAGTAAGGCTGATGATCTGTGTCTGACGACTCGACTGTCCCGGGGGATACGAACCCTCCCAAGGACCAGTACAGACCGGCGGGCTGCTCGGTGTGGCACAGTAGGCCGGAAAGGCTGAGTTGTGGGTTGAAAGCACAGGCAGAGCCACACTGATCACGTCGTCCTGACTGCGACGTTAAAGAATTCTTGCGGAGTTTGGGGGATCTCCTTAAATGCCTCCAGATCAGCTGTTGGTTCAGTAGTGACAGCCTTAGAGTAGGTCTAGATTCGTGACCATAGTTGACAGGGTTCTACCCTGTGGTCCTTAGAGAGTCAGTTAGTGGGTCAGTGTCAGGGTAGGTCTAAGTGGTGAGGAGTGGGACTCTTTGTCGTGCACCTGACACCACCATGGATGACTACCCGATGTATGGGTTACTTGTTGGGTTCTCCCTCTAGGGGACCCTTTGGCGTTTCATGTTCCCGTTGGGATTTTGGAACACCTTCGCGTGTAGGGTAGAGACGAAAGGTGGCACAACCACACACCCCTATACGCCTGAAGAAGAGGCCAAGGCCGCCGCCATCCTGAAAGAGAGAAGGGAGAAGAAGGAGGCCAAGAAGAAGGCCCTCCAGGAAGAGCAGGTGGCAAAGTTGAAAAAGATAGAGGAAGAGATGGCCAGAGAGAAGGAGAAGTTGAGGAAAGAAGAAGAAGCGAAGTTGAAGGAGGTGGAAGAAGAAGAGGAGGAAGATGATCAGCCACTGGAAAGGAGAAGAGAACAGCGAGGGCAGTACAATGGCAGCAAGGATGAGGAGATGGAGAAGAGGATCTCATAATGGGTCGCCAATTTATCCTTGGGGGAAGAAGAAGAGATAGTCATGTATATCCCCAAGGATGAGCAGGAAGCCGCTATGAAGGAGTGGGAAGCAGAAGGAGATGTTTTGAAGCGGCAGGCAATGGAGGATGAAAAAAGGATGGAATGGAAGTTAAGGATGATGAGGGAGAAGAAGAAGAGGGTGGATGCAGCGAGCGAAGCGGTCAAAGATCTGGAGGAGGTGCAAAGACTGACTCTACGGTTGACCCCTCAGGTAGACCTCCAACAAAAGGTAGAGATTATTGCCCAGAGTGTTGAGCGTTTGACCCGAGTGCAGGAACAACAATATGAGTTTAGTCGAAGTCAGGATACGGCCGTGCGTTCGATGCGGATGGGATTTCGGGACTTTGCTCGCGAACTGGTAGGCGCAGTAGGAGCCGAGGTGAACCATCGCCTTGAGAAGACTGAACGCTTCTGCGTCGGCGCCATTGAAGGCGTCAAGGCGACAGCTCCCAAGGAGGAGGAGGCACGTCCTCGTAGGGAGCCAGTCAAAGTCAAGTTCCTTGATTCCTACAGTGGAAAAAGGGAAGAAAACTTTGACAATCGGGAGGCCAATGTCAAGACCTATGTGCATTTGCAACAGGTCTCCCCAGATCAGCACGTGCTGATTGCGATTCATGCGCTTAGGGATGAAGCCGCCAGTTTCGCGAGGTCCCTCGTCCGCGCTGCCAACTGCAATGAAGATGCAGTTGCGTACTCCACATTCACCCCCCTCGTTGAATTTATGAAATTGTTGCGCGAGCGATTCGCTGATGTTGCTCGTAGTGTTAAAGCCTCTGATAGGCTGCAAACTATCCATTCCCGTCAGTGGAAGAGCGCGAGGGCACTCAAAAGCACAATGGATGAGTTAGTGGTTGTTCCTGACCACGGGGTCACAGAGCCCCAATTGGTCAACCTCTTCTACCGGGCTATGCCCRAAAYGTTTAGAGGGCACTTCTTCRCGAAGAGCCAAGACCCTGCTATGACGTATGATGCGCTTAGCAGGGAAGTGGTSGCGTTTGAGGCRAAGTCTGTGTCAGTTTCCACTTTCTGGCACAARGACTTAGACAAGGGAAARAAGTGGAAGGGTCGCACTATCTSAGGGCAAGTYAAGACKAAGGATAGYCTTGTCCTGACCTTAGACGAAGGTAGTGTYGACGAGATCCCCTACGAACAGATTGAGTGGGGGTTAGARGAGGAGGACAGCGGTGCGAGCCAGGAGAGAACTTACGCTGTTGTCGCGGCTGGAGGGAGGCCGCAAGGARGAGGRCRAGGCYAGGGCCAAGGGGGCCGGGCCTCAGGGAGCCGGTTTCAGGGCGATCAGGGGGTTGGCGGCAAAGGAGGAAACCGCCAAGCGGGAGGAAGGGGTCAAGGTCCCCCGCAAAACCGTCCTAGGAATAGGTCTCCCTATAGGGTAGGTGGATGGCACCCAGGGCTACCTCAGGGTAGGCCTTGGGAAAGTTTGGGTCTGGACCAGAGCTTATGGCAACAGCATTTGGACCGGGGCCAGTGCATTTTTTGCGGTGACCCGGGCCATATCATTAAATATTGTCCTAAGTATAGATAGACCCGGACGGCTGCTCAAGGGCCAAAAGACAGCCGCCGGTAGGGGTAGCAACTGCCCTTACCATTAGGCCATGTGGGGAACATAGCGCTAGCCGGCAAGAGACTCCCACACCACATGTGCCTATGGCAAAGGTTGCAGGCCGGTGTCTAGATCGCTGTCCAGAGACCGCTTGTGTTAGAGTCTCTCTAGGCACCTCCCTCACAGGCGTGGCTGAAGAATTGAAGGAGAGGATGCCCGCCTGAGCCAAGATGAAGAAGGAGAATAAAGGGCAGTTTATATTACTAGATACAAAGATTTTTAGAGGTAGAGTAGGGGCCCTAGTTGACTCAGGGGCCCGCAGCTATATCAGTAGGAAAGCGCTGCAGAAATTGAAGCTGGGGCTTAAAGTCCAGAAACTAACAGACCCCATAGTTAGTATCCTCGCAGACAATCGTACCATGGTTGTAGAGGATTACGTAGAGGGAGTCCAGGCGTATTTCCGCCTAGAGAAGGATGGGAAAGTGGAGAAGGTTCTCCACTCCCTGACTCTCCTCGTAGAAGACAACCTCCCATTCGATATCGTCCTGGGAATGGATTGGGGAGAGGCAGCCGGGGCCACACTCCATTTAAAGGAGCACGAGTGTAGGCTCCCTAGCCCTGCAGGCAAGGCTAAGACTGCCCGCCTGTTTCATGTGTCAGGAGTAGAGAACCCCCTGGCACATTGCTGCCTTAGTGCTCTTGCGTTCGCAAGACTAGTGAAAAAGGAGCAACTGGAGGAACAAGTCTTTGTTGCCTATGTTAGGCCAGTTACTGAGCCTACGAAAGAAAAGCCTATAGACCCTGCGATTGCCAAGCTACTGGAGGAGTTCAAAGATTTAACTGAGCCGCCGATAGGAGTAGTGCCGCGACCTATCCAGCATCGCATCGAAATTGAGCCTTGCAGTAGAAATCCCAAAGGAGCTGTGTATCGAATGTCCCCGCGGGAGTTAGAGGAGCTTCGCAAACAGTTGGACGAGCTCCTTGAAAAGGGTTGGATTAAGCCGAGCTCGTCTCCTTTTGGAGCATATGTCCTCTTTGTCCCCAAGAAGGAGGGAGAGCTGAGGATGTGTATAGACTACAGGGGTCTGAATGCTATTACAGTAAAGAATGCTGAGCCACTGCCTAGGATAGACGATCTCCTAGATCGAGTGCAGGGGGCGAAGTACTTCTCCAAGATAGATTTAAAGTCCGGATACCATCAGATAGAGGTGCACCCTGATGATCAGTACAAGACAGCTTTCCGGACTAGATATGGGCACTACGAGTTCATAGTGATGCCCTTTGGACTAACCAACGCGCCAGCTACGTTCCAGCGCTGTATGAACGATTTGTTTAGGCCATGGTTAGATAGATTTGTTGTTGTCTACTTAGATGATATCTTAGTGTTTGGCAAGACCCTCCAAGAACACCAGGGTCATCTSAGGCAGGTCTTGGAGAAGCTTAGAGAAGCTAACTTCAAGATCAATGCAAAGAAGTGTGATTGGGCGAAGACCCAAGTCTTATATCTAGGCCATGTCTTAGACGGAGACGGCGTTAAGCCAGAAGATTGTAAAATCGCAGCGATTAGAAATTGGCCCACGCCACGCACGCTGACAGAGTTGCGATCATTTTTGGGCTTAGCTAACTACTATAGGAAGTTCGTAAGGAACTTCTCCACTATCGTTGCGCCCCTTCGCAGATTGCTGAGAAAGGAAGCCATCTGGAAGTGGGATAAGGACTGCACATCTGCTATGAAGAAGCTGAAGCAGGCACTAATAGAATATCCAGTCCTTAAGATAGCCGATCCGTCCTTGCCCTTTGTCGTCACTACGGATGCTAGCCAGTACGGCATAGGTGCGATGTTGCAGCAAGACGATGGCAATGGTTATAGACCCGTAGAGTTCATGTCCGCTAGGATGCCTTCAGAGAAGGTTGCGACATCTACCTATGAGAAGGAACTCTACGCTCTCAGACAAGCATTAGAATACTGGAAGCATTACTTGCTTGAGAGGCACTTCAAAGTCTATTCTGACCACGAGACATTGCGATGGTTAAAGACGCAGGCCAAGATGACACCTAAGCTTACTAGGTGGGCCGCAGAAATAGATCAATATGACTGTGAGCTCAAGCCGGTCAAAGCGAAGTATAACGTAGTCGCGGATGCTCTGAGTAGGAGAGCTGATTACTTTGGGGCCATAGTCCATTATCTAGATATAGGGTCAGACCTACAACAAAAAGTTAAAGAGGCGTACGCGCAGGACCCCATCTATAGTGAGCTCCTTAAGAGAGTTAAGGAAGCCCCAGAGTCCGAGCCATATTACCGCACTACTGATGGGTTGTTGTTTGAGAAGACTAACGTAGTAGACCATTTGTGCGTCCCCAACAGTGAAGAGATCCGGAGTCTGATCTTGGGGGAATGTCACGACACCGAAGGACACTTTGGTTGGCAGAAGACTTTAGCCAACCTGATGCACGCGTACACCCGACCAGGAATGAAAAATTACTGGATAGAGTATGTTCGCAGTTGCAAAGTCTGCCAGAGGAATAAGTCAACTACGTGTGCCCCTTTAGGTCTTCTCAGACCTTTACCTATCCCTGAACAGCCGGTAGATTCAGTGTCCATTGACTTCATGGACACCGGCGTTAAGAGTAGGCATGGCAAGAGCCAAGTTATGGTCGTAGTAGACAGATTCAGTAAGTATGTTATTTTTGTTCCCTTGTCGTCAGAAGCCAGAACAAAATTAGTAATTTAGAAGTTCTTTGATCACTGGTTCAGTGAACACGTGGTTCCGCTGTCTATAGTTAGCGATAGAGATACCCGGTTCACAAGTCTAAACTGGCAGGAATTGATGCGAGTCTACGGATCTAAGTTGTTGATGTCATCTGGCCGTCATCCAGAGACGAACGGTCAGACTGAACAGATGAACAAGATCCTGCAGCAAGTCCTGCGCATGTACATTAGACCTGATCAAGTTAATTGGGATGAGATGCTTCCCAAGGTAGCCAGCGCATACAACAACAGCTTGCACCTGTCAACCTGCCGCACTCCCAACGAGCTCCATAAGTCCTTTAGACCACGAAGACCATTTGAGGGACTTAACCGGGATCAGATTCACAGGCTACCGCCCGGTACAAGGGAGTTTGCGATTCAGCACGAGAAAGAGATAGCAACTGTTGTTGAGAATCTTAGGAAGGCCCAGCACCGCATGATCGAACAAGCGAACAAGCAGCATGATCGAACAAGCGAACAAGCACCGTCGCCCTTCACAGTTTCAAGTAGGTGACTTGGTCTGGGTCCAGTCGAAAGAGTTTGCGCCTGAAGAGAACATTTCACTGAAGTTACTGCCTATGTATAGAGGACCGTGGCCGGTTCTGGAAGTCAAGGGCGGCGAAGATGGGTCGTCCTATACCATAGAAATCCCAGCACACCTCCACACTTACCCAGTTTTCCATGCATCGAAGTTGTTACCTTGTCAAACAAGTGATCAGTTTCCA